CCCCAAAACCCCAAAACCCCAAAACCCCGTGAGAGCATGGATAGATGGAATTCAAAATAATATGAATTTCATTTATGATCAATTTAATCATTAATGGCGACGTTAATCTAAGTATATCATAAACATATCAAACTGATTCATCTTAAGATGCCTCCATGTTCACTCTGTTGTTCATCAAGTAGAAGTTGATCAATTCTAGCATTTCTTGGGAGGTATAGTCAAAATTTAAGCATGCTCTTTTACCCTTTATTGCCACTGCGTATAGGTCATAGGTCTTGGCTGCTTCAAGCTCTTCATTGAAAATTCCAATGTATTTCTTGACCCTATCCACAGTGATAAGTGATTGCCAATGGGTATTATTTTTGGAAACTCCAATGAATTTGGAGCGTCTGTTCAAGTTAACATTGCTAGTATACCTCGTCTTTTTCAATGAATGATTGAAAGAAGATTCGCGATTATTGAGGATACGGCTACGAAGCCTGATAAGTTTCGCTCTGATATTAAGTCTCTTTGAACGTCTTCTTCTGTATTTGATTTCTTCAGTCTCCGTTTGATTTTCATTAGTTTCATCACTTTGCTCAGTCAATGCTTTGGCTTTTTGGTGATGTGAATTGCCCTCTTGCTTTTTGGGACACATTTGAGGTTTACCAGGAGAAGCCTGGATTATTATCATTGATTTATTAGATCTAAGTAGTGAGAATTAAGCTTTAGTCAGCAATAAACTTTATTAATCAATGTTTAAAGTCTAAAATACTTACTTTTGGTGTAAGCCTCTTTCCTGAGATTCCGAAGTCGATGGAATGCGTAAACCATGTAAACTGCAGACACGCTCACTGTTTAAATCTAAGTGTTGACCAAATGGGCAGCATTTCTTGGTCTGTTCTAGCTCTCTGAGTACACTTTCGTAGTCCCACATTGGATGGAGTATCAGAGTTCCATAAGCAAATGGGTTTTCAAAGTCCATATTTAATAAATTATTATTAAATCTTTATTTCTGATTTTTGTTATTGCAGTGTCCTAGTTAAAGCCTTAAGTCTTATGTAAGTTTTAAGAATAATTTTTTTTACCACAAAAGAAAGCATTTGTCATTATTAGGAGCATTTTTAATAATTTTATTTATTTGAAGCCAACTTGACGATTTCCTTCGGATTTTAAAGCTAGTATCACTTCGCCAATTTATTTTTAAGTTAATAATTTTAGCTTTCAGGATTGTGATAGAATTTTTGAATGAAGGATGAGGACAACTCTTGGCTATTATTAATATTACTTTAAATTTGTGTTTAGAATTGAATTGTACTTTATTTTTCCCTATTAATAACCTTCTTTATTTCATAAAATCTGAGTCATTTCTGGTAGGAACTCTTGCTACAATAAGACAAACTCATATTGGAAGCTAAATATCTGTAAACCAAAAGAGTATAGGTCTTTCTTCATATACATTTTGTGCTAAAATATCAATAAAAAGTTAGCGAAGTTTTCAGATTTTAAGTAGAAAAGATTTTTGGTTATAAATTTTTGAGAATTAGATGAAGAATCTTGAAATATCTATCAGAATTAAGCAATAACAGTAATTAGCAAGGTGTAAAAAGACATATGCATGGATGGCATTGTAGTCGTCAGCTGTAAAGGCCTCAGTCCTATTCTAAATCCTTTAGTGAATTTCTCCTTCAACCTTAATTTTAGGAATAATTTTCTTGGTATTAAAATTCTTGGAAGCATAAGAAATAACTGTTTATCAATATTTTAATTCTTCAGAATTGAGAGACTCATTTAGCTTTAGATAGAGCATTTACCATAATATTTTATTAATTATAAAGCTCTTGGGACTTTATTTGAGACTCACCAATTTTATATGTCTTTGAAAGAGCTTCTAATGGTTAGTTTTAAACCTAATTTCTGGTTTACCTTAAAATAGATGAAAATGTAACATTTCACCGCTAAAACTCATTCCTTCCAAAATGTCTGGCTTTACCCTTAGAGACACAGATTTTTGCAAAATAAACAGGTAATTTTCATAAAACCATATCTCTTATTTAACGCCAAATATAAATAAGCCAATGAATCGTAAAAACTACTATCAAGAATTTCATCGCTAAAACTTTCTCTTTCTCTAATAGATCATAACACTCTTCAAATCTGTCAAGCCTAGTCTAATTTCACATCAAATGCTTACAAAATACTCTCAATGTATTCAAAAAGCCTCCTACCAAACACAGCACTGACATTATCCAAATTTGCTTCAATATTCTTAAAATAGATATTAACAAGACTCAATTTCATCGATACAAAAAACTCAAAGTGGTTAAAAACAGGCCTAAATCTCTTAACCACCTTGCCAATCTAGTTGGGTTTCATCAGAAATATGCCTCACGATATGATAGTTTGATGAAGTCTTAATTTTTAATACTACATAACCAGTAATTATATCACCTGATACCAAGCAGCCAACACTATCCCAGATGCCTCTAGATCCATCCACCACTTCTAACCTCCATAACCCCCAGAATTCCCTTCTAAATCTCCCCAACCCCATCACCCCATAATCCCTCCCAAACCCATATAATCCCTCTCCTCCCTCACCCCACAATCTCCTCCATCCCCTACCAAATTCTCCTCAACCTCTTCTTCCCCACTTCTCTTCCTAGTAGCGCCTCGATCCCTTCTTCTGCCTAAAATTGTCTGTTTAGGCTTTGACTAGAGTGGCTGAGGTAGAAGGAACAGAGGATGGTGGGTTCAGAGAGGGTGTAGAGGGAGAGGAAGAGAAGGATGGGTAGGGGGATTTTGGGGGAGTCTTGTAAAGAGGGTTTTGGGGGATGTTTGGAGGGGCATGATTGTTTCAGTATGGAAAATATTATATGGGGTTTTGGGGTTTTGGGGTTTTGGGG